TCCTAAATATAATGTTTACCCTTTTGGATTAGTGATCAGTCATGCCAAATATCTTAATTAATCAAAACAAGTATATAATAATAAAAAATGTTATCATTCTGTCGGGATTAATAACTGTTAGATCATTATGTAACTGTCGTGGATAGATCATAATATCTAACGGTTACAAACCCGACAGAATGGTTCCATAACGGGACCATAAAATCTCCCGTGCAAAAGCGTGGACTGGTCATGGGTAAACTAAAAGCAAGAGTTATTTGAAATTTGTCATATGAATTGATGATGACCAAAATCTAAAAAACCAAAGCATGTGATAATATTTTCTTTTATCTATTTAATTGATCTTTAACTGGTTACTGGTCAACAATTGGACCACTTTTAATTTTTCAGGTTTTCTTATTTGAACAGTACAGAGTACAAATTGTAACATTAAATTATTTTATTTATTTTAAATATAAAAAAAAAAAATACTGTCTCTGTGTGTTGGTCTGGATTTTTTACAGTAGTGTTTTGGGTCTCCCCAAATTATCGGTGATGACTTATGATTGCTGTCAAAAAACAGTTTTGTATTTGGATCTTTGTTGAATTTCCCATTTTTGTTAGTTTGTGATGGTTTGGGTATAGATTGTATAATTATTTGTAAAAAAAAAAATATAACAAAATATATATTCGTTTTGGGCTGTAAATGAGCAGAGCAAAATCGAATTGTTGTGTTGATAGGGCTCATATATTGACAAAGGAAGGAGGCAGACTGATGTCTGCTCGCTCCACTCCGCTCACTTCGCTCGGTCGCGTACGGTACGGGGTATTTAAGTAAATTAATACCTTGTAGGGTTATAGTATAAATACATGGTGTATTGATGTATTTGAGACTATTGAGAATAATAAAGATTCATCAGCCGCCGTGGACGTAGGCACATTGTCGAACCACGTAAATCTTGTGTTGTTTACTTTTCTCGTTTTTTTTTTTTTAATTCGTATGTCATATTATCATCTTCACTCAACATGTTGGAATATCACTTGTGAATTGTCTCACGTTGATTCTATAGAGTAAATAAGCCTAATAATAGGAAGTTACTCCTCTCATCACCAATTGGTTTTGGGATGAAACCTCACTAAGGTGCATCTAGGTTCACCCTCTTATGGTGCGCTTCATCTGGTGGTCCACACACTCTTCCCCCGGTTCTAATACGAATAATGACTTTATCGAGCTATTCTTTGTTTTCTACATTGTTGTTGAAGCTCGAGTTCGACGAGCCAAGCTTTTTGAAGCTCGGTTCAAGTCAACTCGACAAAAAAATAAAAAATATTCAAGAGTGGCTTCAATTTTCACTTGCATTCACCTCAAATTTTCAATAGAACGTCTTAAGAGAGATGGATTTAATTAATTTGGTTGGTTCGAGTTTCTCTCATGTTTGCTCGCGTATAAAATTATACTTATTCACGAGCAATGTTTCAAGGCATACGTATAGACTATAGAGTAAGGTGTCATGTTTCGGTTCTTACATAGCATTGTGTGAATAACGTTACGTCTCGCGAAAGTTATTTTGGCATTAAAATAATTGTATAAAAACTCTGTATTATTTTTTTTTTCTCAATCTCAAAACAAATAACAACCTAGTCCAAGTATCATGCCTAATAATTGTTGACTAAACTTTTTGAACAAAATTAATTGGCACTGAAAACAAATACCTTTAGAATTAATTGAGATTACTACAAGAATATTGTAACTAAAATGTGCTCTATTTTCAAGTTAATAAAATAATTTAACCAAACCTTCTAGCAACCATGATCTTTTACCATTTTAGAAGACCAATGACTTCAAAAATTATCCAAAAATTTCAACTTCCACAGTAAAAAACCGAACTTTGACATAATAATACCCTAAAAACCAAAGTAAATAAAACAATAAATAAAAAAAATTGTTACCCTAAAAGTCAAAGTAAATAATACAATAAATAATAAAATTATTTACTATGGAATACTTAATTAGGAGTGACACTTTCAAATTCAATTCCCGCTCTACGGTTTTGCTATGAAGCCAACAGTTAGCTCGATAATGAGGTCAACTTTCTATATATCGTCCCTCTCTATTATGGTAAAAAAAAACCCCCAAAAAAGATAAGAGAAAGAGATATTAACCTTGGTTTTATTGTGTGTGAGTTGTCTACATCTTTGTTCTTTTTTTTTTTAATATTATTAATATTAATTATTTGATCCCAACAAAGATACCAAAACTCTTTTAAGTCTTGTTGCGCATGAACAATTTGGTCAAACTCTTTTTAAATCTTTCACATGGCTGCCACATTTTCGTGGACCATTTAACTCGTGAATTTCATTTCATTTATTTTTTTTCCTAAGTCAAGGAAAAATAATAAAAATAAATGAGAATCACGTAATTGTCAAGTTTATTATACTAACTCTAGACTAATAGGTTCGGTACGATATGGAAGAATGTTTCCATTTCGAGCACTTATTTAACTAACGAGTTGAGTCAAGTTCATCTCGACAAGATTCAAAAATATATTTTTTTTATGTAATTTTTTTTTATAAATCAACTTGTTAAAATTCGAATTTAGTTCGTTGATATTGATAATCAAACTGGAGTAGTGGAGGTCATTTACTAGCTTAGCTCGATAAAAAAGTTTAAAACCCGGCTCGAGTATCATGAGTTCGAGTTTGGTTCAGATCAGGTTGTTTAGATGAGTCACACGTATGACTAAATAAAATGAAAAGAACTAAAATACTTGGATAGATATAAACTATACACTATTCTTATTTTTTCTTTTTCTTTTCCATGTTGAAATTTTTTATTAGGGAAATAATAATAATATTAATAATAATAATAATAATAATAATAATAATAATAATAATAATAATAATAATAATAATAATAATAATAATAATAATATTGATAGTACCATCAAAAGTAGCATCAGATAATGGATAGACGTGTTACCATTAAGACTATGTTTGGTAAAACTAGCTTACAATTTTTAAGTGATTTTTGAGTTTGTTGTTTATGACTTATAGCTGAAAAACCAGCTTGTATGATAGACGTATTTAGTAAAATTAGCGGATAAACTAGCTGAAATAAAAATTTCAACGAGCTTATTTGAAAAGCTACCTAAAGAAGTTTATGAGATAAATTAAAAAGCTCGTCGTACCAAATAAAACCTATTCGAATACAGGAAAATTATAAGCTATAATTTTCGAACAAAAAAAATGAAAACATATAGTATAAAATATCATATTTTTACTTATATATGGTATTTAGGAGAAACAAATTAGTATAGTTGAAACTCACTATTCTACAAAAATAAAAATAAAAATAAAGTAAAAGGTTGAAAAAAAATAATTATAGACTTGTTAATTTATAATTATAGCATAGCTAAGTGACAATTAACGAGTTAATTGTAAGCACTCTCTAATAATATTTTAGGCATATATTAGCATTAGTCTATGGTATTATTCATTCCTAAATCCTAATTTGTTTATTCCACACGCCATTGCCTAATAATATCGTTAGGTTTATATCCACAGACAGCAATTATGCTTAGCCGCTTTACAGGTTGGCTGGATTTTTCATTTATGGTTGATGAAGGCATTTTAGTTTGAACTTCTTCTCTTATTAGACTTGGCGGCATCATACCCGATTGGCTTACATCGATTAGTAATTCCACCTGAAAGGTTAGGAGTTTGGATTGATCATGACAATATCGGGGTGTCGTAGCTTCGTCGAGTACTAGCTTAATCCTTTTGGCTCATTTCTTTGCACAAAAAAAAAAAAAATGATTATTGTAATGTAGCTTGCTAATTAATTCCAATAATAACAAATGAATATATATGTATATATAATAATTGAAATGACCATGTTTTGGATTATATGGTGAAAGAAGCAAGATAAATTATTGTGGTGAAAGTGTTATATGTAAAGTTGTTATTTGAATTGAAATATTTACGAACGGAATTCATTTCGGTTGTGAAAGTTAAAATTTCACTCACTTTAGTAGTTGAACGAGTTGATTTTATATAACAGATTGAACTTAATTATTAAACGTGTCGAGTCAAGCATTTTCGCAAGCAACTCGGTTGAGATTTCGGATTCGAGTTTTTTAGTTATTAAACGAATCGAGTTGAGTACAAGTGTTGAACACAAAACTCTTGATTTTTGTTTCTTAAATTTGCTGAGATGAGTCAGCTCGTTTATTAAATAAATAGGAATTCAGACATTGTATACTCGACCTGACATGCTTCGAATAACAACTTTAAGTCGGTGTATGTACTAATAAATTAGAGGGAAAATATTTTTAAAATGTATAATACAAATTGCGTGAATCACACATCGAGATAAATGAAAACGTATTATATATTACAAATGTAATCGTCATTTTTGTTAGATTACTCAGATTTTAATATTGACTCAGTAAAAATATTAAAAAGTATTCGATTCGAAATTCAATTTGGATTTTCCTGACAATCAAAACATAAATAAATATAATCTTATACTATATATTTACTTAAGCATTTATCTAACCAAAACAAAACCTAAATAAATAATAACATTGTTCATATGTTTAAGGTGACCAACAATAAAAAATGCCCAATTGTTTCAAATAATTTAGAACTAAAATTCTATTTAAATTGTTTGCAAAAATAATAAAATAAAATAAATTAAAAACCCAGATACCAAAACACCTGAGCACCATAAATCCTCGACTCCTTTAATACGTCAATAAAAACCTGAATCACCGTCTCGCCGGAAAATTCTCCCTACCCATATTTCCGTCAACCCCTTATCTTCTCTATATCTGTATCTATACATTTCTATATATACACTACCCATATTTAGCTCAAGCTCGCTCGGCGCACAAATTTTTCCCATTTTTTCTCACATTCTTTTTTTTGTTTCCCAATTTTTATTTTTTTTCCGGTGTAGTTTTCCGATATGAGGTGCGGAGGGATTTGGCAGCGGTGCTCCGAGTTATGCTGATCTCGCGATGCATCCATTCTGCTGCGGTTCAACGGTGACGATCGACAGCTCCGACATGCCGCCCCCGGCGCAGTCGCCGCCGTCAGATCCGGCGACCAACGCGCAGAATTCGGCGGTGATATCCAGAGCTT